GATGATTAGTTGCCTCACATGGAATAACTGGTCTACACAATAGAAGGATTGGTAGATTGAGTGTGGAAATGGAGGTGTTGGTTCCCCTTAATAGGTTCCCCTTACCTATGTTAAAGTAAGGGACTTAACTTACCCTAGGGCTCATAGTGGAGCGGCGGCGCAGTGGAGCTTTTGAGGTAGCTCGGGGGTGGTTGGGTGGTGAAGAACCTCAAGAAGTGGCGTAGTATAGTCTAGGGCAACTAGATCTTTGTCTTTTTGCGCCGGATCATAACATTGGTATCAGAGACTTTGGCTCAGTAGGGGTTGCTAGTCAATAGTCAATGAGGACATTGACATCTTTGAAGAGGGGGTGAGTGTAGCATATGTGATCATGGGATGAAATTTAAATATACTGTCACCGTGGATCCTTGGAACCTTGGGGGATAAATGGGGATAAAATAGCCACTAAGGGCTCTCTCATCAAGCAATTGCCCCTTTTCCAGTTGGCTTAAGGGAAGAGAGATAAGGTGCGCTACAGTCGTTCTGCAACCATAGCAGCAGCCTGGTGCAGCTAATCGCAATTGCAAGCTAAACCACACCAAAGATTTTCTCCTAGTTTTTAGACATCATTAATAGCATATAAAAGACCATTTATTGAAGAACATAAAGTTTGTGCTCTTGAATAGTTGCCTATGAATCTTCTAACAAAAGCAGTCGTAGAGTTTTTATTAAAGGCTTTCTTTGGCCAACTGTGAAGGCAATGTATCCACCTCTCACTAATGTGTGACTTTCAAGTACTCTAAGCTTATCATAGATGCTTGACATAAGTTTTATCAAATAGTGAGTTCTATTTCTATGCTTCTGACACTAGGCCTTCACAATGATATTCAGGAGACTCTTCTAGTTTTCTCCAGCATGTTTTTCCTACTTTGACTTGGAGCAGTGACTCTTTTCAACCACACTCAGCTCTAGACCATGGCCATCCACACCTGTAGCAGTCAATCAGAGCACCTCATTCTTTTAACAGCTTCACAGCAATGAAAGTGGTGGACATGAGCACTCTACAGCTTTTTCACAACTTCAGTACCTTTTCAGCAAGACTCTTGGATATAAGAGATTTTTCTGGCACTCTTGGACACAGCATGATAGGGGGAGCATGGCTTCCTCAACTTTGAGCTTTCCACTCGCCTTCTGGTGCAGTTTTTAGTGGTGACACCACTTTGTATGACCCCCAGACTTCTATAGGCAATCCAGGATGACCACAGCTTGTCATCAGCACCTTCCTCTCGACATCCACAACGACTTGGCTGTCCACCCTGCTAAATGATGTCCCGCAATTTACCTAGCTCCACCTTCACGTATAGCTGCACCATTGGCAAATCCTTTGTATCCATTCCAAAGCTCACTTATTGAATCCCATTTTAAAGAAGAGCTGTAGAATAAAATAAAAACCTGAATGGTATTTGGAAGACATCTGAAGTTTCTGTTAAAGTGAAAGAGTGTATGCTAGATAGTGTTAGTTTTTTTCATCCCACTTTAATCTGGACAAAATAAACCATCAATCAACGTGCTTGAAAGCAAAATCTAAACCAAGATGTCCTGCATATACTTGAAGCTAAGCCCAGGCCTCTTTTTGTTTCTTGCAAAACACTCCAATAAACATTAGCATCCTGGAGTGACACAAACACAATGCTCTGCTGCTTCCCTACAAGCCACCTCAGCGCATTGTAATGCCCCCTTAAATGAGATAAAACCATCTTTTTAGAACATGCCTTTATTGGGCATTTGCTGCAAACACGACATCCATGTAAAGAACTTTCCTTTAGATAGTAGCTGTTCCAGGATCCATCTAGCTTGAAGAACTTTGAGTTGGAATGATGGATATGGATTGCTGCTGAAAGGCACGCTGAGCTCATAAACTTTCATCATCTTGTCTTCCAAGCCACCATCGTTGGGAACTTGGATCACTTTCATGACCTTGCAATCCTCCTTGACTGCCCAGATGTTCTTCTTGCAGCTCACACCGCAGAACCCAAACTTGCTATCCCTGGAAGAAGTGTTTGTCAGCTGGAGTGCCTCCCATGAGTTGTTGCCACTGTCATATCTCTGCAACAATTTAGTTATGTCAGCATTGTACATCTGGTTCGCATGTACAATACAGCAGCACCCATGCAATCTAGTCATGTCCACCACTTCCCAGGAATGGTCTTCTACTGAGAAAACAAGTGTCTCTCCATTACCAGCACGTTCTTGTTACCATCCACGATGAGAGCATTGCAAAAGGCCATGGTCCCATGCGGTGGCAATGGCAGGAGAGGATACCATTGGTCCTCCAGCAGATTGTTTGCGTTAGCATCCTGTTTCTCCCACTCATGGTTGCCACCAACCCCCCATAGCTGCGGACGCAAAGAAGAATCAAGGACACAGCATTGGTGCTGTGGCGCTCCATTGATTCGTGTGTGAATCTAAGACACTCAGTGATTTACTGTGGCCCCATCCTCCAATAAGATAGAGCTTTCTGCCAAGGGCCTTGCAATCAAATCCTCCAATGTCATTGAAGTCCTGTGGTGGAGGAGGAAGAACCACCCACACTTTCTTTGAGCTACTGGGATTTAACACTAGGATCAAAAGCTTGTTCTCTTGCTTGAGGATCATTATGGCTCTTCATTAAACCCTTTTGCAAAGCAATCATTGTAGAATTTGGTATTAGAGATAAGATTCCTCTTTTTGAAATGTTAGATATATGACTTTGATGTTGTTTATTGCCTAAAGAGTTCTATAATTGATACTAATGTTTTTTCTCAAACTTCTCTCTCTTCTTTGCTCTTTTACCATGTTTCTTACAAGTTTATTTTTCTAACATTTATGGATTTTTTATATGAGGATTTCATGCTGTTAGTGGTTGTTATATTTGATGTTTAGTGTCCACAAAGTGCAGAACAAAATTTACCTTTTTTTGATGAGGTTCATAAGGCTCTAAAAGTTAAACCATGAATCTAAAGGCATTGTGATGGATTTGAAAGTTTTACATCATTTATTGATAATTTGCCATTTCAGCATTTACATTCTCAATATCACCTTAAAGATGATTTTCTTTATTTTGTGAGGACAAATCTTAATAATTATTTATGGCTAATCAAACCTTCAATCTTTATTCCACCCTTTTTTCCACACTTACTATGATTCTTCTATTTTAAATAAATATAAAGGACATTGTTCTATGATTGAAAAGTTACATAAGTTCTTTTATTAACTAGAGGCATCAGCCACAAACTATAAAATTTGGCAGTTGAAAAAGTGGCAATCATCAATAGGGTAAAAGGCAGCAATAGTATTGCTTATCCCTGGCCTGGATAACAATGGCACTTACCAGTGCCTCCTACAAGTGTCACTCTCATCCCACAAGCAGATGTACCAAGTGAGCCGAGCATGGAGGAATCTCATCTCCAGTGCCAAATTCTATGATGATTGCTCCGCCCAGGGATTGGACAAGGAATCACTTGTTGCCACGGTGTTGCTCAGGGACGAGCTTCCGATCATTGCATTCAATCCAGTAGTGAATGGATGATATTACCTCCTCCTCCTTGTAGGGCTTCATGCTCGACACCAGGAGAGGATTCAAGTGCAGGGCCGTCAGCAGCAAGCTCTATCTTCTTGGGAGATGGGGCCGCAACAAATCAGTGAGTGTCTTTGATGCACACACAAATTGATGGAGCGTCACGGCGCCAATGCTGCATTGACGAAGGTGCTATGTGTCCGCAGCTATGGAGGGTCAGCTCTACATCGTGGGTGGCAACAGTATGGGGGAGGAACCGGATGCTGAGGTATACAAACCAGTGGAGGATCGATGGGTTCCTCTCCCCCCTCCACCAAACAGATTTCACAACGCCCTCCTTGTCGATGACAGCAAGATGGTTGTGACCTCGTGCTGTGGTGGCCCATTGTTTTCTCAGCTCGAGACAGCAGTGACAAGTTTTTGTTCCGGCAGAAGATCATGTGGGCGGTCATAGAGGTGACAAGTTTTTATTCCAAGCCGCCATCATTGGGAACTTGGATCGCTTTCACGGCCTTGCAATTCTCTGTGACCGTTCTGGCAGTGGAATCCCGTTGTGGCCCCGGTAAGCTGTGATCGATTGCCAGAGAGAATCGGTGATAAAAATATTCCTCTTCGATCGGGACAGCTATTAGCTACTCGCAGGTGCAAGGCCCTCGGCTACAGCAAATCCGTGGGCGTCTTCGATGCATGCACGAATCGACGGAGCGTCCCGGCGCCAACGCTGTGTTCTCAAAGGTTCTGTATGTCCCCGGCTATGGAGGGTCGGCTCTATGTCGTGGGTAGCAACCGTGAGGGGGTGGAACTGGACTCCGGTGGAGGATCGATGGCCCCTATCACCATCGCTGGAGACCATAGCCTTTCGCGACGCCCTTGTTGTCGATCAAGATGGTAGTGAGCTCGTGCGGGCGCTTGTTTTCTCATCTTTCCTGGGAAGTGGCGGACATCCCTGGATTGCAGGAGCGGCACCACTGCTTTGTGCACTCCAACTGGATGTACGAGCCCGACATGGCCAAATCGTTGTTGTTAAGATACAAAACTGGCAAGAAATCGTGGGAGACGCTCCAGCTGATTAACGCTTCTTCCAGCGATGACAAGTTTTCGCTCCACGCTGTGAGCTGCCAGAAGAAGAATTTGAACGTGATCCAAGTTCCCAGTGATGGCGGCTTGGAAGCCAAGGTGGTGGCGGTTTACAAGCTGAGCGTGCCTTCCAGCATCTATCCATTGGCCTTCCGCGTCGAGGTTCTGAACGAGCTTGATGGACATGTATCCAGGCAAGAACACGTCACATTTTTATGTGAAAACATGCAGTCACTGATCCTTCTATTGACTTTTTTGATACGATCTTTCTCTGAAATTCGGGGAATGTGATCAATTGTGATCACATTTCTGAGGTAAATCAGAACACCTTTTTGACTTGTATATGAATTCTTTCCGGCTTGGAGGGTTTTTGACTTTGGAGGTCATGATGGAGGAAGAGGGCTACAGGTCGCAAATGACAACGGGCAGCTTGATTCCGCTGCTGCAGAAGGCCCTTTTGCAACACCAAGTAAGAATTCAACCACTTCCAGTTGCGGCTCCTGTTTTGCAGCTGGACGATCCTGCGCTGAGTTACCTTTCCAAGATGCTTTTAGACGGGGATAGTGATAGTGACGAGCAGGAGGTTGCAACCCCGCAGCAGAACAGATACCAGGCTTACATGGACGACTTGAATTCCATCATAAGAGGTTGCGTCCAGTCTCCGGACAGTGATCAAGAACAGGTCGACCAGGAAGTATTTAGCTTGCTCAGAGAGTGCGCAAGAGCAGTAGCAGCCAGGAACTCGGCACAGGTTTACAATCTCATCGGATTGATCAAGAACTCAGTGACATCCGAAAACAGCCACTTAAAAAGGACCGCATTGTTCTTCGTCAACGCACTGGTAGCAAGGCTTAAAGGGTGTGGTTCACAGCTCTACTCGGCTCTGTCCAGAGAGGTTTCTCAGAAGCGCTACGTGGGGCTTTTGTGCATGAACCTCCCGTGGTTCAGCGCCACCGAGGTGATCTCGAATCACATAATTCTCGAGGCGTGCAAGGGAGCCAAGCGGATTCATATTGTGGACTACGGGATACTGTATGGCAGCCAGTGGCCGTGGCTTATCCGAGCTTTATCTCAGCGACCCGAGGGAGCTCCACTGCTGAGGATGACAGGAATCGACTCGTCTGGGATGATAGATGGTGCACAGATTGGGAAGCATTTACTCGAGTTCGCAGAATAGTGTGGGATTCCGTTTGAGTTTAACTACATCACTGCAGACTCTTGGGAGCTCGCACAGCCGCAGTGCAACAGCTTGAACGAGTTTGTGGTCATCAACACAAACAGGAGACTGCGATTCTTGAGGGACGACTCCACCGCAGCAAACAATCTAAGGAAAGTGTTCTTCGATCGCATGCTCAAGCTCCAGCCGGCATTGTTGATCCAGTCTCTGCCAAACGCCGACCCCAACGTCTCATCCCCGTTCTTCGTCCAGCGCTTTGAGGCGACACTTGCGTACTATGCCAACATTCTAAACGGTTTTGGAGAGGTTCTTAAGGATCATCCGCAAGAGCTTGGCTTCGCAAGAAAGTTTGTGGAGAGGAGCATCATGAATGTGGTGGCCTGTGAAGGGGTGGATCGAGTGGAACGGCCGGGGCCATACTACTACTGGGATTCGACGGCAAAGAAAGCTGGATTCGAGCAGCTGCCTCTGAGCGACCAAGTTATCGAGACAGCCAGGCTGATCTGGAGAGGCGAGAAGTTTAGCTTGTACAGGGATGGGCACTGGTTGCTACTGGCATGGAAGGACGCCCTGGCGTTTGGGATTTGTGCATGGAAACCTGGCGTGAAGCCGAGAAATTCGTACAGCGCCAAGAGTTCAAAAAGATACCACTTCTAAAAGCTCTTGCACTCGTGCGTGTTGACTAAGAAGTGGCTGAAATCTGACTAGCAGCCTGTGCATAGAGCACTCTCTTCTCCCTATCATCTCTTACTTATCTTCTTTCCAGAGTGGTTTAGGCCTAGTAATCTTCTGTTGTTGCTGTCAATAAAAACACATTCTTCAGTTCCATATCCTGCCTGCATTGTGAAAGGAACAAATCATGCTTGTATCATAGGCCTGTTGGTTCAAACTCCCTCCATCGTTGTCATAAAGGTTGGATACAGTGATCCCTCTCCATGGCCCAGTCAAAGTCAATGAACCTAACATTGTTGTCATGCATGTTGCTATGCACGTCATATGTGGCCTGCTTGTCTCGCCAACTTTCACCTGTGAGCAGCCTTCAGACACACCACCCTCTAATCCCAGAGTGTTTCCGCATCCAGCCTGTCTTACTATCCAGGTACTCCATTTCCACCTCCAGCCAGGTTGTGGGGTGTGTAGCCCACATTTGTGCCTACCCGTACTGTTGAACATACTTGACCGCAAACTTCTCACTGCTTGCCATGTCCCTGGCAAGATAAACTAGCTTACTGGGATGGATAATTTCCACCGTTGCCCAGGATTTACACACTCAAAGAAAGCATTTCTCATTCAGGGCCACCAAACTGTGATCTAGACATTGGGCTGCACTATCTAATTGTTGGTGATACCACTGCAACCTGCTTCATGGCCACACAAACAACAACTCCCTGCACCACTATATGCTGATCATGAGCCTGAATGGGTGCGAGAAGGAGTGATGCTAGACCTTGTGGAGCCACAACAATATCAATTTACAATAGTTAACCCTTTCTTTTTATATTTAAATTTTTATAGATTATTTCTTAACATGTTTTTCTCTAATACCAAATGTAAGCTCTTAGATTTGGATTTCTTGGGAAGTCATCCAACCTAATACTATTCAAACCCAAGAATGTTTAACTTTAAATATCCCAAGATCCTTAATAGAGGTGCACTTTTGTCTATAGACCCTTTCCCTTTATATTTAAATCTCTATAAATAATTTTTTAAGTCATTTTTTATTTATTTATAACAATCCACATAGTATCATTTTTTTGAAAGGTTTTGGGCAAACCAATGATAAAGTCCATTGAGATGCTATCTCACTTATTCTTATGTACACATAGAGGATGATAGAGGCCAATAAGTTTTTGATGATTAATTTTGACTATCTAGTAGGTCAAGTAACCATATACATATTTCTCAACATTTAACTTTATCCTAGGCAAAACAAAATGCCTTTTCACCAATATATAGATTCTTAGTACCCTCAGATGCTTAGCACTTGGCTCTCATGAGACAACCAAAATTTATTTGATAAGTTTGTCAACACGAAAAACCACTATATATCCCTTTTTCACTAAGATTTCATTTTATATCACAAATGATATAAACTTGTCACCTTTCAAATTTGTAAAGACATCCCTCAATAAAACCTTCACACGAGTATCATTAATAAAGGAGCTAAAGTCAATAAACTCCTTAATCTCACTCAAGAGATTGCTAGATATCTTCATGAATGAGATAGAATTTATTATCCTAGATAATGTATTAACCACTTTATTGTTGCCTCCATACTTGTATTGTATTGTAACAAATATTTCTTGCAAAAACACTTGCCAATGAGTAAAGTGGCCTTGAAGGTCCTTTTGATGATTGAAATATTGGAGAGACTGATGGTTTGAATCCACATTAATTGTTATACTAATAAATGTAGAATTAATACAAATAAAAATTTGTGTTGAATATTTAGTAATTTTTAAACCTTTTCACTGTTTTAGTGGAAGTTTAATCCATACAAATAACGTTGCCATTCCTTCACAACAACAATCACAACATACAACTCTTTGTCTCGAATAGGCCAATTCCACTGTATAACATCAAACTTATGGCTCATAACCATAAAAGAATATTGTCTATAAATTCCACTAGTCACCTTAACATTTGTTGACCTCTTCAAAACAATCCTTGTTCTAATGCCTAACCTTATGATAATGAAAATAATTGCCCTCTACCTTGTCTTTTTTTCCCTTAGTCCAAATGAAATTTCTTAGCCTTATTATTATCTCCATACTTTGAGCCATGATATACTAATGGCCATTTCTTCCTTGAATATGAAACATTGGCAGGTTGACTACCCCATAGACATCCCATTGACTAGAGTTGACTGAGTTGAATAATGGTTTGGGCAAAAAGATTTAAGCCTTAGTGATAGCATCAATCAACATTTTTGGAAAATCCTTCTTGACTTTTTGGTGCATATCCATTGAGCTTAAACTTTTGATAAAATGTTACACCTTTAGCAGTTCATTAAAAATATCTATAAGACTAAGGCAAAGATCATGGAACTATTGGGCATACGCATCCAAAGACAAAGTCCTCTACTTGATTTTTAGCAACTGGTTCACAAGATAATTTTTTTCAAAATTCTTGACAAACAAAGTGTAAAAAAACTTTTTCAAATCACTCTAAGAAATTGGTTTAAAAGTAGTTTTGATGTAGTTCTTCCACCACAAAGAAGCATGGTCCATGAGCTTTGTCACAAAAAAAAAAAAACAAACTTCACCTTATCCTCATAAGAATTGTGAGACCAACAACTTTCTCACAATTCCAACCAAGAATCAACTTTTTAGCTATCACAAATATTTAATGATGATTTCCATTCTATAATACCATAATCCTTATAGAATGCTTAATTTACCAATGGTAATCACGGATATAAGATTGATTCAACCTTTGAAAGTTCATATAAAATAGGAAATCCTAATGGAATTCTTAACCTCTTTAATGACATTCTAAACCTCAGTAATCTAGCAACTATGACACTATTGAGAGTTTTTTCCTCATCGTTATGACTATCATTACTAACAGCATACTTTTCATCAAAATCTATATTCCACTCATTTACCATCCTCAAAAGAACAACTAAACTTTAGTATGGCATATTTTGCTATCAATAAGATACTCACTGTTCCCATATTTAGATACTTCCCCCCTCTTTCAAATATTTTTATCAATCCTTTAGAACTATTCTTTGATTCCACTTGAGTCATTTAGCCTTTTTGACTTTGCTAATTTAACGACCCATAAGGTCCTAGCCTTATGGCTATTTTTGAGGTGTTAACTCATTGAAATATAACTTTTTGTATTCATATCCTACTTGTAAGTATCATCGTTGCAAGTATTACTTTGACACTTGATTATTCTTTATTCTCTGTGGGCTACTTTTGCTCCTTAGGACTATCCATCTATATGATGAGAATACTGACTCATCCTTTAAATATACCCCTAACTTTTTGGGTTGTTCTAGTATTTATTAAAGCTAGCCCCAGGTACTATTTTAAGGACTTGTGTTTTTATCCATATTTGACTTTCCAAGGTTATTAATTTTAGTCTCAAATTCATGAGCATTAGCCTCAACTATATGAAGATAACCTTATGACTCCTTGATTGTTTAGGAGTTTCCATCATTCCTATGATCTCAATTGTAGTTGTTCACTACAACCACATTAGCCAGTTTGTTAAATAAAATGTTTATATGGATCACATCCTCAACTCTTTTAGGAAAACTTTATACTATTCCCAAGATCCCAAAGTTGTTCCCTTGTTAGCCCCTTTCTATTTACCATATTGCATACAAGTTCACACATGAATTACAATGAAGAGCTACGTCCTCCCGACTTGCTACTCCTCGAAGATAGGCCTAATCCTAGGACCTTCCAATGTCAATACAAGTGGTGATATACTTGGCCACCAATAATAGTCAGACTAAGGAATAGCTTTGATACTAAGTTGTAAGCGACTAAATTTTCCATTCTACTTTAGTCACTTAATTATACCTTCAACCACTTGGAGGTGTCTTATTTACAACCTCTATAAGTCCTATTCCCAACTTAAGGACTTACTAGCCCCATGACTGGCATTTATGCCATTCTACCATAACACTTGGTCCAAATGCTCCATGTGTTTGATCCCACGACAAATACCTAAAGGTACCACTAATATATCTGCCTGTTACACTAAGGCCATGTCCATTCCCCTTTGTCACACAAGTAGTCCAAGACCACTTGCACCACAATCTTATCTCCCAAAGACTGAATCATCCATCCATGAGTGGTCATTCCATGACCACATCTTAACGTCCTTAGGATGTCTGGAAATATAGAAAACACCCTTCCCCAATATCCTTTCTTTAGTCCCTGCCAAATCCCTCTCTATCCTTGGCAGTGTTCATCAACATTGCCCTTGGGTCTATGCCTGAATGCCTGACCACTAAGTCTTATTGACTTCTAGGACTTCCCTATCACATAACTATATCCTTGGTCTTTATGCAAGACAACTTCTCCTCTTCCTTTCCACATTAGGACCTTGGGATGACATTTCGAAACATTGTGGCCCTATGCAAGACACAAGCCTCGTGGATACTCTCCTTACCTTCTACTTTTGGGTGCCCCAATTATGTGGTTAAAGTGAGGTTTTGATGAGCTACGCTAGGTATCCAAGTAGGTAGTGCCACCCATACTTGAATTGGGAGCATTAACCATTTGATCTCCCAAGGGAGCTAGAGCTGGCTTTTGAACATTTCATCAAGCTACTTTGTTTGTGTATTTGTATTCACTCTAGCCTTGGACTCCTCAATGGTTATATCATCACCCAACACATGGATATAGCATTCCTTGGTCATACTAGCCTTTCTTAGCCAAATTAACACCACTAAAGTCCTCCCCCTTACTATACTTTTGGAGCTCACCAAACCCCCTAGGGTTTGGGAGATGATCACTTTGGGATTTCACCCTTGGACTTGAACTCGAACTCAAACTTAGACTTGGACTTGGACATGGATTTGAACTCAGACTCGGTCTCCATCTCCATCTCGGCCTCCGTCTCCATCTCAGCCTCCGTCTTGGTCTCGGCCTCCGTCTCGGTCTCGGTCTCAGTCTCGGTCTCGGTCTCTTTCT